ACGACTGCGGATTGACAACAGAAAGGTGAGGGGGCTCTAAAAATCTCCGGTGTTGGATGGATGCTGCTACTAGAATTCCTCTGCTTCACGATATGTACCTGCAGTTGCCGATCGCTGTCTGCGAAAGTCGATTCGAACGTCTCTTGAAATAACTGTAGAGTATTATGTGACTTCCTCGATGCATCTGAAAAGGGCAAAGGACCGAACAGCACATCATAATCCGGAGTGATAGCGAAAAGGCGTTGCTTGGTGCTAGGAAACGAAAGGAAAAATTGGCGAAGTCGATTATGTTGTTCTTAAGGACTGGTTTGAGCAGATCATCTTTTTTAGTTTTGGTTGTCACGATTCAGCACAATCCTGGGGCCGATTTAACGATTAAGTGAATTTGAATAGAGCACCCAGGTTTATCTAAGACCAGTAGCAACAGAGAGGTTGACGAGTTCTGCATTGAACTAAAATCCATATTAAACTTTGAATCGACACAGTGGTTGTGGAGGACTTTCAATGCAAATTTTGGGCGAAGTAGGGAAGGATGCAGTGGGGTCTTTTCGCAGCTACGACATTAGCAGGAGGAACGAAAAAGCAGTAGGTTAGCAACAGTGATTATGCGAACAGGTTGTTTTTTGGTAGTATCTGGCTCTGGAATGTACAGGTTGGGAATGGCTTGCTCCAAACACGAAAAGAACGAAATCGACTACGTTTTGCCAGATACCTGACGTATTTTATAACACCCTTGATCAACACAGAAAAAGATCAGCACACGTTGCGAGGGATTACCTCAAAAGTAGGAGGAAAATTAGTGAAGAAATAGATTAAGAGGTGAATTAATAAGTTAGAAAAATGGAATACGACGGCGAGTGCTGACGCAGCTACAAATGATGCATTGATAAGTTTAAATGAACTGAACAAGCCAAGTGCATTCAGCTTCAACGGTTCAGTTCGAAAATTTTCGCATCTATGAAAATGCTGTTGTAGAAGAGCAGGAACTTTGAAAAGAAATAAATACTCGAAAAGTGGAGTACTATTGCTCCGTAAATTTGTTAGACGGAGGATTAAACATCCCAAAAGGTGACGTTGAAAAATGAAATTGGGCATCGGATAATGGATCGAGCGGACATTCAAAGCATATGGAGAAAAATAACCAAAATCTATATGCATCATGCAGTAAAATTCTAGAACCTACCTTTCGCCCCATTCACTTTGCTTGTACCACTTTCTCTCCATCTTTCTTTGACTGTGACTAAAGGGAGTGCTGAGGGCGAGGCACCAAGCTCGACATGTCTTTTTTTCCTCTTAAATTGCATATGCGCGCTTTAATTATTCCGCAGCAACAAATATTTTCATTTCCTCTTTTCGCAACTGATGACCGATCATTCATGAGGAACCTCCCTATTTAGAGGCTTTGGATTTTGCCGAAAAAATTACATATTGATGCATCAGTATGGGTTGGATTACTTTTGTAAATTGCGGCACACAGTTTAGTTAGTGGCTCAGTTGCGGGCATCATTAATGTCGTTTGGATAAATCAAATTATATGGTTTGTACAGTGGTACTGCTTGATGGATGAAAAATTATATATCACC